GTAAGGATTGGCTTCTCGCGCTTAGCATATTGAATGTATTTCTTGATGAAGGGTATGCTGAGGACTTCGGTCCTTCGGTTTGCGCCACGTCCGACGGTGATTGTAACGCCGGAATGTAACATGGGGTTGAATTTCTCGTAGACTTCCGTCGGACGATTTGCATCAGCGTCGGTCTCAAGACCAACACCAAGCAGCTGAGATCCCTCCTCGCGGACCGGTGCACCCTCCTCAGTACCAGGCTGGCGGTAACGGTGCATGCGTAGGACATGCTCAGAGATTTGACGGTCGCGTGCATCTTCGATGTCGTCTGTTACAACGAACAGCAAATCGAAACGCGATAGCAGAGAATCCGGAAGAGCAATGTTGCGATGCGGATCCTTGTGGATATCGTACTGACCAAAGATGGGGTTGGCAGCTGCGATGACACTGCAACGAGCATTGAGCGATGTGTGGATGCCGGCTTTGGCGATGGTAACGGTCTGTTGCTCCATGACTTCGTGGATAGCCACACGGTCGACATCGGACATCTTGTCAAATTCATCGATACAGACGACACCCCGGTCAGCGAGAACCATGGCACCAGCCTCGAGACGTCGCTCGCCCGTCTCCTTGTCCGATGTGACAGCTGCCGTGAGACCGACACCAGACGAACCGCGACCCGTTGTAGCAATGGCAAGTGGGGCGGTATTCAGAACGAAACGCAACAGTTGCGACTTGGCAGTTGAGGGATCACCGACCATGAGAATATTGATGTCTCCCCTCAAATGAGTGCCGTTCTCGAGGTTCTTCTCTTGTCCTCCCAGGAGGAGCAGCAGAATCGCCTTCTTGATATAGTCATGTCCGTAGATAGATGGAGCCAATGATTGCGATAGCAGTTCGAAGACGCGTCTGTTCTTGGATATTTTGTTGATGTTGCGAATATCGGTATCGGTGATAGAAACCTGGGCAATGCCACCGCCGGACTTGGAAGAGAGGAGGATAACGTTGTTCGCTAGAATCAGGGTGCGGAACGTCGAGCTCCCGGCACCAGCGTTGCGATTACCGAGTGAGCGGTATATGCCGACCATCTGTATGCGGTCTCCCGGTTTCACACGGTCTACCAAGTCATCGTCCAAGATGACATCGACGGAGCGCGGTAGCTGACCAGCAGGGGCACGCTCAGGCATTTCTTGGATGGAAATGGTCTGGTGGTCGCGGTAGATGCAGTAGCCGTACTCAGTGACGAGTGGGTTGCCCTCGCCATCGTCCGTCGGGTAGACGCTCGTACTCGCAGCGCCGGTAGTCATGGTCTGATCTCTGTACTCTCGCGAATGGAACTTTTGCTTGTTCTCGTTGTAGTGTACGCTCTTGACCACCTTGGGCCGCACAAGAGACGTCTTGGTGACGATTCCCTCGAGCGACACCATGTGGTTCAGCTGGTTTGAGCCCAGAGTACGCGGGTTGCACGAGTACTCGCCGAAGCTGCCGATGTATGCGCAATAGTATACCACATCGTCGCTTGTCTCGGACTTGGGTCGGTCGGTGAATGTGCGGACAACGTCTTTGAGGGCGCGGTCGAAGGCTTCGGTGAATTCGAAGGGCGAGTTGAGGAGGCCGTCGGCGAGTTCGCGGTTATGTGAGCGGATCTCGTCTATGCTGACCTGAATATAGTAAGTATGCGTCGATGCTTATAGCATACAACACCTACTGTGAGTCTTCGTAGTCCTCGGTTGAGCATCACCAGAATGTCTGCGCGGTAGCTGGAGCGGTCAGTGCGCGCTCTATGGGATGGATGGCTGCTGCATACCTTCGTCTGGAGACATCATCTGCACCATGATTAGTATTCGTATCTAACCAACAGTGGGCTTGACCTACCTGGGTCGAGAAACTCTTGCGCAAGACGCACGCGCCTGCGCACCTCCTCGTCTCTGATGACCTCGGCCATGTTGTATTATGTGACTCTCGGGGCAGAGAGTGACCAATCGTTGCAAAAAGAACTTCAATGCAGCGTAAGAGGGGGTATTCGAAGTGGGTATATGGAGGGTGTATTGTTTGGGCTGTTGCTGCCGTGAGGGCTTCGAGGGGCACCAGTTTCGCGACACCAATTCGCGTCGCGCTAGTCTCCTTCCGTCACGCGTTCCTTCCCATTAAACATCCTCTTTCAGCCTGGCACCAGTCAGTCATCTCCAACCTCCACGCGCGAGCGCTCGATATTTCAATTGTACTGTATGTTGGCGACTCATCTCACTTATCTGTCTGTTTGAGTTGAGCGCGTTTTGCCACCTCATGCAGGACGCCCCGCAGTGAGAAGGTACGGTCGTGCCAACAACAGCTTCACATCGACTTCGCCGCTTCACCTCCGTGAACTCTCTTCAGCGCTCTTCAAGGCTCTGAATATCTTCTCCCGGCAACGCTATCTCGAAGCATCATGAATACGGCATGTGGATCAGATGCACGACGGTCCTAGCCGGAGATACCGTTGCCATGTAGGCCGACGTCACCCACTATGTTCCCGAACAAGCTACCGTCGCGGGTCTGCAGATGTTGCCAACATGGTGTAGGGCAGATCTAAAGCGACTCGCCCATCCTTAGTCGCTGTCGGTTCAACTCCGCTAACACCGTACGCTTACCTTTGATGGATTCTGACGTAATGATGCTGGCCGCACTTGACGTCGTCTATCCTCAAAGTATATGAAGGGCCACTGCAACAGTTGGGAGGCTTGTTGCAACGTTTTCATATCATTCACAGTCTCCCTTCTTAATTTCTCACCTTATCATATCACTATGGCGCCCCGCGTTTTCCTCATCACCGGCTGCTCCACTGGCTTTGGCGAGGAGTTCGTCAAAGTTGTTTTGCAAAAGGGTGATTATGTTGTCGCTACTGCACGCACCTCTTCCAAGTTATCTTTTGAGGGTGCCAACGACTCGAACAGTCTGCTCGTGGATCTCGACGTGACCAAGAAAGAATCCATCGACAACGCATTCGATGCGGCTATCAAGAAGTTCAAGAAAATCGACGTGGTTTGCAACAATGCCGGATACGGTCTGAACGGGCCCTTTGAGACCTTGTCGGAAAAGCAAATCAGGCAACAGATGGAGATCAACTTCTTTGGCCTGATTGATGTAACAAGAAAGGCTATGGAGACCATGCGAGATTTGAAGTCTGGAGGTGTCATCCAACAGGTGACGTCAATCGGCGGTCAGATTGGTGAGTTTGAATCTAATCTATTCTTGTGTTCACTGCTGATGCTCACTAGGTGTTCCTAACTTTTCCATCTACTGTGCCAGCAAATGGGCTGTTGAAGGATTCACGGAGGCCATTTCAAAAGAAGTGAAGCCTGAGTGGGGAATCAAGTTCACTTGCATTGAGCCCGGTGGTTTCCGAACCGACTGGTCAGGCCGCAGTATGGACTTCGGCGAGATATCGAACCCAGCCTACGCACACGTCGATCCCAAGAAGCAAGCTGAAGGGCGCCATGGCTCTCAGGCAGGAGGTACGTCATGGTCAAATTGTTACATACCGGACGACCGCTAACAAACTCCTCATAGACCCGGCTAAGGCTGCCAAGGTGTTCTACGACTTGGCCGTCATGGACGACCCGCCTATCCGATGCGTAGTTGGAACCGACGCGTACAGCCTTCTCAACAAGAAGCTTGAAACTTACAACGAGAGTGTCAAGAAGTTTGAAACATGGAGTAACAGCACCGACGTCGAAGGCTACAAGGCGCCCAACTAGGTATCGGCAAGAAGCAGGTAAAATAAGAACGCAAAATCGAAAGAGGCAGGTAGACAAATGTGTGGTTCTCGCGCAGAGCCTTTGCACCACCAATACCGAATGACATGATTCGTTCCAACACTACACTGCATTTAAATCTTCATGTCGATACAAGTCCTGCTCACTGACACTGCAGTAAGGATGGCTACCTTCCACTAATACTGATACTCTGAGCACTACAACATGTAAAGGTAGGAGTATACCTCGTTATACTTACTTCGGAATACAAAATTTAAAGGATTGGCTGCAAGAGTATGTATCGTTACACGGCGACGATGTTGTGGCTGTTGCCACGTTGCGCCCGACCAGAGGGTTTGACTCAAATCCGGTACGTGTCAATACGGCCACATAGCATACTAGTGACGATCAGTGGTGTCATTATCGAGAACTAAGGACCTCCATGTGGCAATACCAGCATCGCGGAGCAAATGAAACATTTGGCGTTCGTTCAGCTGCAATGGCGGCCACTGGATCTGGTGGAGCAACGTTCCACTCAAGCGTCGGTACCAAATAAGGCAACGAATCGAAACTAGTCCGCGAAGATCACATCCCCAGCGCACAAAGCATAGAGAGGGAACCGCCCCTGACATCACTGGTACTACTCAAGCGGTACATCGGCCAACAGTGTCGCAGAGATCGTGATAGTATCGGCACTTCACATATCCGAATACGTACACGACCTCCAAATGTTGCGTGCTTACAGACTATAGGTCCACGGTACCAGAACAAAGCACGCTCGACGATGTCACACGACTCTCTTCATGCACTCCATCGCGGACGGGGTACTGCTACCGGCCTAGGCTTTGCTTGCCACCACTCCCTCACCGCTGTATATACGAGGCCGAAGCTCGGGGGCTTGAAGAGAACATCTGACGCTTCTAGTTCAGGAAAATACGTCCCATGATGGAATTATGCGCTCTTCACACAATGAAAGCTGGTCGTGGGGGCTCGCACGAGAGTTCTGCCGACCAATCCCCACTCACATTATACAACCTTTACATGTACCCTGGTCACGAGAACCACACTTTTCGAAGCCAATCCCACCGCCGTTTACATCGTGAGCGTCAGAAACAGGCAGGTCCGTCAGCCCTCTATTGTGGTTGCGAACGAAGCTGCCTTCAACTCCAAGTGTCGCTTCGTGACCCTTGACGTACTTCACCTTCTTTGTATAAAATCTGCGATTGAGCATCTATTCCTTCAACACCCATAGAATTCAATACTTGTTACTACTACTCATCTTCGATCATGAGGCGCTTTGGAAACACCATCCAGGACTCGGGACCGGCAAGGTTTACGACTGCACTGCTTACTGCGCTCCTGATCACCAGCGCTACCTTCATTCCATTCCTCACGCAGAGCACTGTCGCAAACCCAGTTCCTGTACCGCGTCCTCAGCCAAATCCTGATCCTAATCCTAATCCTCAGGACCCTCAAGCTGGCAGTCCTACAACTGATGGCTACTATCCCGACCCAGAGCCATGTCGCGGCAACTGCTCTTGGATTCACGACCCTAGTGTCATATTTGAGAACAACAAATACTGGCGTTTCTCGACTAGCGGCAACATTGCCGTTGCCAGTGCGCCATCCCTGGGAGGACCATGGGAATATGAAGGCGCGTTGTTACAAAACGGTACCAGCATCCAGGTCCATCCGGATCAAGACATCTGGGTATGTTCATTCTCCCTCTACTGGATCTTAATCTGCCACGCATCATCCTAACCAACACAACAGGCACCTTCAGTAATGAAGCGAGGCGATACCTTCTACTGCCACTACTCCGTCTCCCGAATCGGTCTCCAAAACTCCTCCATCGGCGTCGCAACATCGCAGTCCCTCGAGCCCGGTAGCTGGCAAGACCACGGCGACATCGGCCTCCCCCTATCCGACAAGTACAACCTCATCGACCCCTTTGTCTTCCAAGAGACGCCCAAAGACCCCATCTACTTCACCTTCGGCTCCTTCTGGGACGATATCTTCCAGGTCGAGCTTTTCCCGCACGACGACCTCATGGCTTTTGGCGGGTGGGCCGAGCAGAATAACCGCATCAATAACATGGTGCGGAATAGTACTTACGGGGCTACCGTCGCTGAGGGCGCTATAATGTGGAAAGAAGAGGACTTTTACTACATGTTCTACAGCGTGGGTATGTGTTGCAATACGCCAGAAACTCCAGGAGGTCTTGCTCCTGAGGGTCAGGTATACCACGTTGTTGTCTGTCGCTCGGAAGTTCCTACTGGGCCTTTCTATGATCAGGAAGGAAAGAGTTGTCTCGAGGAGAACGGTGGTACGACTATCCTTGCTAGCCACGGCGATATCTATGCACCTGGTGGACAGGGCGTTATGGTCAACCCTGAGAATGGGAGGACCGTGTTGTACTATCACTATGGTAAGTGAAAGACTGGTAACGATAAGTTGAGACCAAGCTAACGTTGATGCAGTTCGTCCGAGTGTCGGCTATGCAGCTGATCAGTTCTTTTTTGGATACAACTATCTTGACTGGGAAGACGGCTGGCCGGTCGTTGTTATTGCTTGATTGACTGCCATTCTGCCATTCTGCCACAACTAACGCCTATCCTCCTCCCATTCCCTGAGTTCTTGGAGCGCAGCGTCTTGGTAACGGTCTCTGGGATGGCCATCCCAGGATTCACGATTTACGACTAACGATCTTACAACTAAGACTTCACTAGAAGCAATGTTTGGTGGGTGTTGATGTAGGATGTGGTTTGCCGGAGGCTTTCGGCGAACTGATGAAGTTACTGTTGTATCATGGCCATGGATATAGTTCTGACTCTTTATCGTAAATACTAGTTTCTAGTATTATTGAGTCTCCAGCTTTCAGATAACGTGTCTTGCAGTGCCATGGGCAGCTCATGGGATCCATCTCACGATGTCTTGAAGATGCACTTTAACCCACTCGTTCCTCTTTGTCAAAGCTCCCAGATCATCAGACTTTTCTCTCAGCTCATGCGCTGTGTACTAGTCTTTTCTGCCGCGCGGACGCGCTTAGTTTCGGAAGTGGTGGGATGAAGCAGCCGGAGGGCCGATTACGCGGGGTAAAAATAACTCCCATGGTCATGATGTCGCGCATGCTGAATCTGATCAATTAGTTTTACCGAGGAGACAAGCTTCTTGTAGTGCTATAGTAGTGGCATCATGAACCCGGTGCTGAATCGCTTTCGGGTTGTTAATCCCAGCCCCCGGGCTGATTGTAGCCTCAACCGCGATGGACGCTTGAGGGAGGTGCATGATGGCTATTGCTCGGAAAGGCTAGCCGCCAATGACGTCACCAATCGGTCCCTCCGGCGGCTGAGATCGCGCCATGCCTATTTACCTGCCAAGTGCAGCACAGTGAATACAGGTTATTCCATCCTTGTGGGTCAGTACAAGACCAGTGCACGCGACCGATCGCCTCTCCGTCGCCTACGCCTCACTCCTCAGCCTCCCTCTCCAGCCTCACCATTTCTACCATCGCTACCCCGCGCGATTGCTGATCGCTGCGCACGGTCGCCAACATGCCTTCCCAAGAGAAGGGCCTCAAGAAGCTCTTCCATCCCTTCAACCATCGCGCTTCTGAGAAGATTGAGGAGATTGAGCAAAAGCTCGAGCACACCAAGTTACGAGGTGCGCATATTAAGGCTGTGCACATCAAGCATAAGATCGGCAAGTTCACCAACCTCTTCAATGCCAACCATCGCCACGACGAGGAGCATGAGAAGGAGACGGACGCCAAGAGGAGCAAGATCGCGGAGAACCACCGCTTCCATAGCTTTGCGCCAGAGCGCGACAACAACTTGGTGAAGTGGTATGTCGATGGTAGGGATTACTTCTGGGCCGTTGCCGAGGCATTGGAGCAAGCCAAAGAGACCATCTACATTGCGGACTGGTGGCTCAGCCCTGAGCTCTTCTTGAAGCGACCGCCCTACTATAACCAGCAATTTCGACTGGATCAAGTACTCAAACGCCGTGCAGCGGCTGGTGTGAAAATCTATGTTTCCGTATACAAGGAGGTGAGGTCATCAATCTGCGTCGAATAAACAGCAGCTTATACTTACTCAGGTTTCTGCGGCTCTCACATGCAACAGCCAACACACCAAGAAGGCACTCATGGGCCTGTTTGAAGAAGGCGAGCCTGGGTATGGAAACATCAAAGTGATGAGACATCCTGACCACAATGTCTTCGAGAATGCTTCGGATATGACGTTCTACTGGGCGCATCACGAGAAGTTCATCGTCATCGACTATGCCATGGCCTTCATCGGTGGACTGGACTTGTGTTACGGCCGATGGGACGACAAGCAGCACCCGCTTGCCGATGCCCACCCGTCTGGTGTTCAAAACCAAATCTTCCCGGGTCAGGACTACAACAATAACCGTATCATGGATTTTGAGAGTGTTGATGACTGGAAATCGAACAAGCTGAACAAACTGGAGTTCGGTCGCATGCCATGGCACGATGTCGCAATGGGTGTCATTGGCCCAGCGGTTTACGACATCGCTGAGCATTTCGTCTTGCGATGGAACTTCGTGAAGCGAGAAAAGTACAAGCGTGACGAGAGATACGATTGGCTCACCATGGAAGGACGTGAAGGCGCCGACGAAGACCTGATCGGAGTGCAGCGGCCCAAGTTTCCTGTTGGCCAATATGTGCACCATCCCCTCACGCAGCTGAACAGCAAGAACCTCGACAACCGTGGAACTGTACACGCGCAATTAGTCAGAAGTAGCGGCGACTGGAGTATGGGCATTGATCCTCATGAGCAGAGTATCCAGAACGCATACTGCGAGGTCATCCGTAACGCGCAACACTACGTCTACATTGAGAATCAATTTTTCATCACGGCAACGGGTAAACACGACCAGAGCCCTGTCCACAACCAGATCGGAGCTGCAATGGTCGACGCCATCGTTTCGGCAGCTAAAGAGCAGCGCAACTTCAAAATCGTCATCGTCATTCCTGCAATCCCGGGATTCGCGGGAGATCTTCGAGATCAGGCCGCTGCTGGAACACGAGCTATCATGGACTATCAATTCAAGAGTATCTGCCGAGGAGAAGAAAGCATCTACGGACAGATCAAAAAGGCTGGTGTCGATCCAGAAAAGTACATTTTCTTCTTCAATCTTCGTTCATACGACCGTATCAATGTCACCCCCACGCTTAAGGAGCGCGAGAAGAAGTCTGGGAAGTCGTACATGGATCTGGAAGCAGCTGAGATTGACGAGCTGGAAGCACCGCCGGAAGAGGGAGGAGACGAGGCACGACGCAAAGCCGCTGAGATGAGGAAAGCGTACATGGACGAGGAGGAAGATGTGGGCAAAGGCGACCAGGGTGGTGTTATTGACCCAGACTCGATTGCCGACGACGCAATGCTTACGGAAAAGAAGCCCAGCGAGGAAGCCTGGGAAGGCGAAGAAGAAGAGGAGAAAGAGCACTTCTTCCAAGAGGAGCTTTACATCCACGCCAAAATCTGCATCGTCGACGACAAAACCGTCATCTGCGGATCCTCCAACATCAACGACCGCTCCCAGCTGGGCTTCCACGACTCCGAGCTCTCCATCGTCCTACAAGACACTGCAGAGATCGACATCGAAATGGACGGCAAGCCCTACAAAGCCGCAAAACTCGCCCACGAACTCCGCAGCAGCTTATGGCGCGAACATCTCGGCCTCCTCCCACCCCAAGCCCTCAACGCCGCCGACGACCCCAACGCGCAACCCCCCGGTGAAAACTCACCAAACGACCCCATGCCCGGCGCAGAAGCAGACTTTGTCTCTGACCCTCTGTCACCCAAGCTCTGGGACGAATGGAGGGAGCGCGCGACTACCAACACCGAGGTGTTCAGGTCGCTGTTCCACGCCGATCCTGACGACAACATCCTTACGTTTGAGGACTACGACAAGTTTACGCCGAACCCGTCGGGTGATAAGGAACATAAGCAGGGTCATCTGTATGACATGGTTAGGCCTGTAAAGGAGATTAGAGCGGAGTTGGATCGTGTCAAGGGGCATTTGGTGTGGATGCAGTTGAAGTTTTTGGAGAATGCGGATATGGCTGAGAGGGGGCTGCAGGTCAATTCTTTTACTGAGAGTGTGTATACTTGAGGTGGATACATGATGGTAGGAAGAGGTGGCTATGGGAGGTGACTGGCTGTTGGCGCTGGGCGATTAGACGAGTCGCATCGGTGTATCGTTCTCGTCGGTTGTCTTTTCTTTATGATTCCCTATTACGTATCCTCGAAGTCTTTATGACATGAATGAATGCTTCTTCTTCTTATGAAAAGGGCGATATGTCTTCTTTCCTGTGCAGTACATGTGGCGACACTGCGATAAAAGAAAACCCCAATGAAGAACACATAGAGATTGACAAGCTTGTAGTAGCCAACTCACATTACCGCGGAGGTCGTCAACTCAACACACAAGAACACAGAAGCAGACAACGAGTATATGAAGTCCCGAAGGCCCAGTGTGATGTTCCAATCGTACAAACAAACATCTTTTGTAGTCCCCAACTGACTTCTTCAAACACCCAACGAAATATCTTCTACCCTCTATCGCCTCCTAACCTCCACACCACCCTCCCCTTCATCCTCCATCTCCTCATCGTCGTCATCATCCTCATCCTCCTCTTCTTCCCACTCCAAAGCCTCCGCAAAGCCCCTCGTCTCACTCCCATCAGACACAAACAGACCCGTCCCCGCCGAAGTAGGCACAGCCGACGAAGGTGCAGCAGAAGGAGACGCAATAAACGTCATCGCATCCTCGTCTCCACTGTCCGGCCTTTCCTCTTCTTGTCCGAGCTCAGATTCACCGACAGACTGCTGCGTACCATCGTCCTCCCACGCCAACGCCGCCTCAAAGTTCTGTGCTTCTGTCTCGTCGCGCACGAAGAGGCCGCCTGAGCCTGGTGATGTGGGGGCGACGGACATTTGCTCGTCTTCGACCTGATTGTCTGGTGGGTGGTCGAACTCTGAGTTGGAGTAGAGGGGGGATTGGAGGGTGAGATCCTCTTCCTCATCCGGTGGTTGTTCGAATTCCGAACCTGGGTAGAGTGGTGATTGGAGGGTAAGATCTTCGTGCTCATCATCTGGCCTGTCATCGAATTCCGGAAGTGGGTAGAGTGGGGATTGAAGTGTGAGATCTTGTTCCTCATCGTCGGTTTGGCCTTCATATCGTGGTCCTGGTGAAGGCCGGATGACGGGGTACTGCAGGTCCGCGTACTCATCGTACGTTGGTGGGGGCAGGGGAGTGTTTTGCGCGTCGGAGTCGGATATGGGATCGTCGGCGAGTTCCATGTTGTAGTCTTCACTTTGCGGCGGCGGCGGCGGCGGAAGTGGTGCGGTGGGCTGATGGGTACCCGGATGCTGATTGGAGTCTATATCCATGCTAGATTCATAGCTTGACGATGACGATGCGGACGATATCTCAATTGGCTGACCGCTTGAACTGCCTGTAGTCGGCAGACGAGACGTAGACCCACCAGCCGGTTGGCGAACAGCTGGTCGAGGAGGTAACATCGGCGCAGCAGGTGCACGAACGGGTGCTGCCGAAGCTGATGTCGCAGCCGCAGGCCTGGTAGCCGGTGCGTCTGAACTTGGAAGAGGGGCCCTGTACTGTTGAGCATGTGTTCGTGGTCGAGGTGGGGCAGGCTGCAGGGGAATGAAGGTGAAAGGTGAGGAGAAGTACCTTGAGTTTGGGTACCGGTCAGCCGGTATAGGTGGTCCAATGGTGTATACATTGGTTGCGTTGGTGTTCGGTCGCTGAGAAGCGGGTCGACGAACGGCTGGAACGGGTTGAGCTGGCGGTGGTACTGGCCGAGGTGGTGGACGTTGAGCGGGTTGTAGTGCGCGTCCACGTCCGCGTCCACGAGCAAGTCCACGTCGAGGTCCACCTCCAGGACGTATTGCTGGACGACGTGTAGGTGCGGGAGCAGGTGCAGGTGGCGGAGGGTACTCGTAAACACCTTGCGCGTTCATGGGCGGTAGCGGAGGCATAGTCCAAGGTACCACCGGCGACCCAGGCTCAGGTGTAGGGCTCACTGATGAAGGTGAAGGTTCCTTCCTCTTGTAATAACCTCGAGGTTCATGTCGAGCCCTTGTGACGAAATGGGCAAAGAATAGTCTGTTGGCGCCGACGACATAGATACCGTCATTCCAGTCTTCCTTCGTCAATAGTTCGTCCTCCACACAATGTGTTTCCCGAGAGAAATGGAAGTGCAGTCTGAAGTAGCGTTCATCGCGGTTGAAGGCGTTGAACGTGTATTCGATGAGATCATCCCAGTCGCTCAAGTCAGACGCGCGTCGGCGGTATAAGTCAGGACCAATTGCAAAGTCTCTGACTTCGATCAAGGTAGGGCTGATGGTCGACATCTCGAATCGCGGTAGTGAGTATTGGGGTGGGAACTTGAAGATGGCAGAGTATATATAAGAAGCTGAGTGACGAAGGAGAGATATCGCGGGCAGTTAGAGTTTCTTTGAGAGATATTTATTGTGCGCGTGCGTGTAGCGACTGCTAGTGGAAGTCACACGGACGCAAAGGCAACGACAAACGGGAAAGAGAGGGGGTAGAATGACATCAGAAGTCCGTGACCTGATTGTGTACCTAGTAATGACTGAGTTTTGTATATACCAAGCACCCATATACGGTAAAGCGGCTTTCGCTCAGTGTTGAGCACCGCCTTCGGGAACGTCTGTAGAATCCGAAAAAGAGTCCGTTTCGTCATCGTTCGCGGCAGTCCCGGTAGCTTGCTTGGTCTTTGTTTCTCTCCTCCTTTTCATCACGCCTCCCTCTTGGTCACCTGACCCATGCACCGCAGACTTCTCGCTTGTCTCCCTCTTCGCCCTGATCATTGCTCTGATCGCGTCAGAGAGCTTCCACAGCGGCAACGCTACGAGCAACTTCGAGAGATTTACGTCCTTTAATGGAATCTGTATCTCACCGTTCCTGTCCGTATGTCCGGTGTGTCGTGCGGGAATATACGCGATGACGTTGTTCTTCTTATTCAGCATTGCACGAACAGCAGGACGTTTGTGTGGTGTAAGACACCAGTGTTCCTTCGCATGACCAATGACGACTCCTTCTTTGCGCAGGCCTGGATGCTTTGTATCATCAATGATGATGAACGACACCTCAGATGCGGTAGCTTCACGGACGATCGGTAGTGACGGACTCACGGTAGGGAGACCAGGATCTGGAGGTGTATCCGTGTTGTGAGGTGCATTTCGCTCTTCGATCATAGCTTTTATGGCTCGCGTTCTCTCTTCGCCGAAGGTAAACCTGACCAGCTCGGGTGTATATTCCACGTGCGTCATCGCGATCTGTATATCTCCTTTGATTGCGCTCCGTTTTGAGTATTTCGCGGGAATGTAGGCGACTACAGCACCGACTTTGCTGATCACGGCGCGAACGACAGGGCGAACATTAGGATCGAGACAGCTTTGTGGGAGGGCGCGCCCAATCACGACGCCAGTGTCGAGATGATGACTGCTGCTCGAGTCATCTACGGTCACCACCTCATTAGCAGCAACCGGGAACGCGAGTGTGCTCTTGAGTGTATAGGTCGACTTGAGGTCCGGTTCTGTATTGAAAGGGTTGTGTGGCAATCCCTTTGGGAAGGGCTTAGACGAATCTTTCTTCGATTCTCCAAGGTAGTCTTCGATGTCTTCCGTGAACTTTCTCTGCATCGTGTCAACCAAGTTCTCAATAAGCGCCTAACGATTTTACCTTCGATCGAAATCCCTGATCGCCATATGTTCCCCGGTACCATAGCTTATCTTCTTCCTCCGTCTTAAAAGGATTGTGTGCATCCATGCTAGATTCTGGTGGTGGTTCCACCTGTTCGAAGTGTACATATAGTACCAGTCTGCCGTCCACTACAAATTCGGGATCGAAGTAGCCTCCAGCATCCCATTCGCTGGGGCTTATCCGGTCGTCGCAAGCATGACCGTCGAAATGAAGATGAGCGTTGTAGCGTTCCCACGGCTTGACGAAGATGTTGTGTACGTTCGCGAGGAGTTCCTGTAAGCTTTAGCATGTGATGGCTTTGATCAAGTGCCTATGTCGAAGGTATATGTGGAGGTAAGATACGGCGCGTGCTAGAGCAGTAGCTGGACGACATACCCAGTAGTTGCGAGCTCGACGGGCCGCAACACGGTAGCTAGTCTCTCGTCCGTTGAACTCGCGGACGAGTATCATGGGAAAAGCCTTCATTGTGATGTAGCGGGAGTAGAAGGGTTGGAAGTGGACGGACAGAAGTTTGACAGTGTGAGGCTTGATGTGGCCGATCTTGATCTGGTGGCGACATCGCAGTGAGAGAGCCGTGGCATACCAGCGTGGCACGTGTCGGCTTGAGGCGCAAAGAGAATGGGGTGAGATGCGCTGTTTCATTGCTGGAAATCTGATTCTGGGTATCTTAAGAAATATTCAAAGCGCTTTGCAAAAATGTACTACCCAGGATTAGGTATGCCTAGACATCTGCCATGCCATTGAGCTTCCGGTTATTCTCCTTCCCTCTGCCTTTGGTCTTCTTGTTGTTGCCATCGGTGACAGCAGTGCTGCTGATGGCTCTCTTCCTGCGCCCCGCTTTAGCGCTTGCGATGGAGGACGGCGTCTCTTCTCTCGATACGCTGGTCAACTCCTCCGGCAGAAACTTTCCGCTGCCAGCAGCCTCTCGCACTAAGGATGTATAGAGCTCTTGTACGGCGAGTTCGCTCGCACTTGCGTCTTGTGATGCGCCGCCTTCATCGGAGAAGGACGTGTCCGCTAGCGGATCGGGTGCGACGAGTTTGAGGCGCTCGGTGCCGAGGTGGAAGCTGTTGCAGGTTATTCGGGTTATTTGGACTTTGGGGTGCGATATGTCGAGGGCGAGATGCTGCCGAAGATACGCGGCCAGAGCAGCTGTAAAGGGCTTATCGTGGGTATCTTTGAGCAGTCTGCCCCTGTCGACGAAACCAGAGATGTCGCCGCCTGCGACTGTGATCTCTACGTGTTTGAGGATAGTTGTGGTATTAGGGAATGCCAATTGAATATGTAGCTGTCTTATAATGTCTTGTATGGATTGGGTGGAGTACCTCGCGGCAAGGTGCTTGAAGTAGGTCTCGAGACTCGAGGTGATGAAAGGCGAGGGCAGCTTCAAGGGCGCAACGTGGGCATCGAAGGTGGTTCGGAGGTAGTTGAGGAAGATGTCGCGTATTGGGCCTGGCATCTTCACGAGTAGTAGGGGCAGTGACGTGAAGCCCATTTGCGAGGAAGTGACGCCCGGGTCGCGCAGCAGGAGCGCATTGTACGACTGCTTCTCGTACTCGAGGCTCACTTCCAGTCCACGCGCGCGCTCTGGCGTGAGCTGGGAGACGGAGGACAGCTGTGAGGCATCGGGGTCCATCGACTGGCGATGTCGGTCAATCCAGGCATCCTCGTCGCCAATCAGCTCCCAGGTGCACTCGTCCAGGGGGCCCAGTTTCGCAGTGTCGTCGGCAGCGGCAAAGTCGACCTGCACGCCGCGCACGCTGTCGCCTTTGAGCTGTTCCTTGAGGCGCTTGGCATGGGTGCGAAGTGAGGCGTCGACTAGGAGGGGGCTGTCGTGGCAGTGGAGCGGGGACAGGCGGTACAGGTTGTACGTGCGGTTGTAGAGTGGGTACGGGGGGATTTGGGCCATGCTGATGTCAGCTATCTTATCGCGCAGAGGGTCGACGCGTGCGGGTGCTCAGAGGCGGGCGTGCAGGCGTCCATGGGGGTTGCGTTGGAAGACGCTGGCGGCATCGAGACGCGTCGGCGGAGACGGCAGAAGCGAGTGCGAGCGGATATGACGCAGCGTGTTGTTGGACGATTTACGTGGTCCGTGCCTTCCGCAACACTTTCTTTAGTGACCCCGCTAAAACAGGGCCTGTCGAGAAGGTTCTCTTTTCTTCGACGTATTGCCAGCAAGTCATCACGCAGCGGTCACTTGAAATTTGCGAACCCGTGTCTGTCCATCTTTTACACGACCCCCCAAACACGACTTTCACCGCACACACTCCCTCCACGTTTGCCCACACATACCCCGCCATCAGAGATAAACATGTCTGTAGTAGGTGTTGATTTGGGAACGCTCAACAGCGTCATTGCTGTTGCGCGGAATCGCGGTGTCGATGTGGTGAGTAGCCCCGGTCGCATATGATACACCATAATACTGACGCCAGTAGATTGCAAATGAGGTTTCCAACCGCGCGACACCGTAAGTAGACCCCCAGCGCACGCAGCGCACACAACGAGCATCCACTCACAATTTCCCAGGTCGCTAGTAGGCTTCGGCCCCAAGAGCAGATACGTCGGCGAGACGGCCAAGAACCAGGAAATTTCCAACCTCAAGAACACCGTCTCCTCCTTCGTCCGCCTCGCCGGCCGCAACCTCACAGACCCCGATGTCCAGGTCGAGCAAGATTTCATATCCGCGCCGCTCATCGACATGGGCGGCCAGGTCGGCGCTGAGGTGACATATCTGGGCAAGAAGGAGCAGTTCACTGCCACCCAGATCACCGCCATGTTCCTCACCAAGATGCGCGCCACAGCATCTGCCGAACTCAAACTCCCCGTCAACGACGTTGTCCTCAGCTGCCCCGTCTGGTACACCGACGCCCAGCGCCGCGCCATCCTCGACGCCGCCGACATCGCCGGCCTCAAGTGCCTGAGGCTCATCAACGACAACACCGCAGTCGCCCTCGGCTGGGGCATCACAAAGCTGGACCTCCCAGCGCCCGAGGAGAAGCCACGGAGAGTCGTCTTCGTCAACATCGGCCACAGTAACTACACCGCTACCGTCGTTGAGTTCAAGAAGGGCGAGCTCGCCGTCAAGTCGAGCGCCTGGGACCGCCACTACGGAGGCCGCTACATCGACAAGGCCCTTGTCGAGCACTTCGCCAAGGAGTTCAAGGAGAAGTACAAGATCGACGTCATGGAGAACGGCAAGGCCCGCCTCCGTCTGTCGGCCGGTGTCGAGAAGCTCAAGAAGGTCCTTTCCGCAAACAACCAGGCCCCCATCAACGTCGAGTCCATCATGAACGACGTCGATGTCCGCGGTATGCTCAAGCGCGAGGAGCTTGAGGAGCTCATCAAGCCCCTCATCGACCGTGCTACCGCCCCTATTGAGCAGGCTCTCGCTGAGGCCAAGCTCACCACTGCCGACATCGACGCCATCGAGATGGTTGGTGGCTGCACACGTGTACCCGTCCTCAAGGCCAAGATCCAGGACTACTTCGGCAAGCCGCTCTCCTTCACCCTCAACCAGGACGAGGCTGTCGCTCGTGGCTGCGCTTTCTGCTGCGCCATCCTCTCTCCAGTATTCCGTGTCCGTGACTTCTCCGTCCACGACATGGTCAACTACCCCGTTGAATTCACATGGGAGAAGTCAGAGGACATTCCGGATGAGGACACCAACCTGACCGTCTTCAACAAGGGCAACGTTATGCCATCAACCAAGATCCTCACATTCTACCGGAAACACCCATTCGACCTCGAGGCCAGGTACGCCAAGCCCGAGCAACTACCAGGAAAGATGAACCCCTGGATCGGTCGCTTCTCCGTCAAGGGTGTCAAGGAGGACCCCAAGGGCGACTTCATGATTTGCAAGCTCAAGGCACGCCTCAACGTGCACGGTGTGCTCAACGTCGAGTCTGGATACTACGTCGAGGAAACCGAGGTTGAGGAGCCAATTCCCGAGTCTCCGTCAGCAGAGAAGAAAGAGGGTGATGTACGTTCCGAATTTCCTTCTGATCCTAGTAACGGGCGGCAAAGCCCGCCCGAGCCTGCCGCGAAACGACACAAGCCTGACGCTGATCCTGTACTTGCGCGTCCTGCTTCTGCGCACGTAACAAATGAGCTAACAAATCATGCGCAGGCAATGGACGTTGACAAGGACGCCGCCAAGGAGCCACCGAAGATGCGCAAGGTCAAGAAGCAGCAGCGCAAGGGTGACCTGCCACTATCAGCCGGAACTGCTTCGCTTGACGAAGAGAGCAAGCAGACCCTGGCCGAGAAGGAGAACTCCATGATCATGGAGGACAAGCTCGTTCAAGACACCGAGAACGAGAAGAACAACCTCGAGAGCTTCATCTACGAGCTCAAGGACAAGATTCTCGACGTCTACGCCGAGTTCGCCAGTGACGAAGAGAAGGCTAAGCTCAACACAAAGCTCGAGACCATCGAGGTAAGTCCAATAACGATGTAATACATGGACTGCGCTGACATCTACACAGGAATGGTTATACGACGAGGGTGACGACGCGTCAAAGGCACAGTACGTCTCCAAGAAGGAGGACATCCGCTCCATCGCCGGTCCCATCATCCAGCGCTACAACGACAAGATCGAGGGCGAGCGACAAGCAGCCATGGAGAAGCACCAAAAGGAGCACGCCGCCAAGCAAGCAGAGCTTGAGCGCGCAAAGCGGGAAGCCGAGTCCAAGAAGCAGGCTGAGGCGCCGCCGGCGGAAGAGCCAAAGGACGCGGAGATGACAGACGCCGAGGCACAAAAGCCAGACGGCGTTGAGGAGGCTTCTTAAGCGGAGAGGCATCTGCGAAGGCGTAACGGCAAAGTGAAAAGCATTTGGTCGGCGTGGTATACTAAAGGGCTACGTTTGGCGCCGAGGGGAAAGTTTTCTCTGTTCGACTTTTCTTCTTGTTTTCTCTGTGATGACGATCATGGTAATGCGATGCTTATGATAGACTAGTCCATAGACGAACGAACACGATATCCAGTTTTGGAACTACAATGATATGTTCCGCTGCTTCCATCATTCTGGTCTGCGCGGTTGTGCTTTCCTTCTCTGACTGAACTCCGTCATTAAAGTGGGGCGGCGGAACCCGTCGCCAGCTGCCTCTTTGCGCAATGTTCTGGATACCTCTTTCCTCCTACATGACCGACGGAACACAGAGAGCGCCCTTGATCAAACCGCCTCGTCTCTATCCTGAGAGAAAGTCCTTCCCATAACACTGCGATTGAGAACCGCCCACACGGATATCGATGCAGCCTCAACAACAAATGACACAAATGCAGACTCCCTGCGACTCAGCGCGATACCAAGGAAGATTCCATTTATAATCAATGTCGCATGCAAGCAGAACCAAATCATTACCCTGACAGGATATGGCATGCACTCAAAGACGGTGTTCATCAAGTTGGCGATAGCAGACACCAGGCCTCCGACCATTTTGAGTAGGGCCTCTGGAAGCCAGCGGATGAATCGAGCAGGCATTCGAATGCAACCATTATCGTGCTGCCACATTGGAGTCTGGTTGTTAAGGTTCCAACGGACGAGCGGTTTCAAGTCGTTGCCCTCTACATTGTCGGGTCGGGCCGCTGAGACGTCGTGGGAGGATAGATCGGATGACGAGCGCTGAGATGCAGAGTCTTGCGGAGAGGTATGTGCGGGTTTCGATCTACCAATTATCAGCCTGCTATAAACATAAGCTGCGCAATGGTCAACTGACTGGCTGTGCTCAGCCTGTGAACGCTCAGTATCCATCGATGCGTCGTGGCGCTTCGAAGTGTTTCAACTTTACTGAACAGTTCCGGGACACTAATAACGCTACAGTTTCGCAGCCTCGCCGAACGACTTTCCAAACAAATCTTCTGGTGATGGTCGAAGTGCGTGCAATTCGCACTTTGGGTGCCTTCTTGACGGACGATTTTGGAATTTCCGTCACGACCGTATTGCCAAAAGACGAAGAGAGCTTTCGGCTCAGTTCGGATAGCTGACAACGGAAGGCTGTCTTCAAGGCATTGTTACCGCCCCAAAACATTCCGCAGGAGTAAGCGCTCAGCCATTGGGTCCTCTGCGGTTCATCCAATAGGAAAACAGCGACCGTAAGCCCTGTGGGGCTGTGTTGTCGCTCAGCTCCCTGGCAGCATCACTCTTCATCAGCTCGCATCCGCAGGAAGTTCACGCTCGCTTTGGGATCGAGCATGGCCGAGGCACTCGCTATTATCGGGCTGGTATCCAACATCTTATCGTTTATCGACTTCGGCATCAAACTCGCTTCTGAGACTCGAAATGTGCGCGACTCCCTCCACGGTACAACTGCAGAAGTGCGAGAGCTGGAGATCATCGTGGAAGACGTCGAAAGATATCATGAGAAAGTACAGAAGTTGCAATCTCTTGGTCAAGAGCTTTCTGCACACGAAAAGAGCATCATGGGAATGGTAAAATACTGCCGTAAAATAGCCGAAGATTTGCACAAGATCATCGAACGGCTACATGTGCGCCAAGGTCGCTCGAAGACCCTCGAAAGTAGTCGTATCCTTCTCCAAGGTCTCTGGAAACAACGCGACATCGAGGCTCTACGAGCAAGGCTTGATGCGCTAGATAAGCGCATTAGGGTGAATGTTGAACACATTATCCGGAGGTATGTCAATGGAGATTATGGTAGCGTTCTGAGCTGCATACACCAACCTCAATCAAGGGAGGATTGGGACACCCTAGAGCCTGAATCCACGCCATATCCTCCAATCTCTTTGTCTCATCCTATGTAGTTTGCAGATCTGTTCAGAGGCTTCCTTACATAAGGGGAACGAATTATCAGCCAGAACGCATGCTGACTTACTTGTCTTTTAGTGATCATCACTCTTCGCTATCAGCCAAACTAGACGCCTTGAAGACGGCTCAAGATGCCTTGGCAATCAGCTACGACGCCAAGCTGGATCAGATTCGAGACGAGATACTCACACTCGTAGCACAAACTCGCACGAGCGAAGGCGCCACGCAGGTCACGCAATTGACTAGTCTGAAGATGAAGTTCGATGCACTTAGCAAAGAGCACACGGCATGCACCAATCAAACCGCTACTATACGAAGTCTCTACTTCCCAGTCCTGCGCAGGCGGTGGAGTCAAATTCCCAAAGCCGATGAAGCGTCAAACACATGGATCTTTGACACAGTATTGACTCCCTTCACAGTCTGGTTAGAGAGCACCGACGAACATGATGGACTTTTCTGCATTACAGGCAGGGTAAAGATGATCTCTCTAGTGTTTTAACTTCCACTAACGTGGCTTGTCTAGGCAGGCAGCGGCAAATCAACTCTGATGAAGTTTGTGACTGAAAATCCTCGCACTTTCGAATGCCTTGAAGGTTGGGCAGGCACAACCAAACTCTGCACGGCGAGCTACTACTTCTGGAATCAAGGTTACGAAATGCAAAAGAGTCAAGTAGGACTCTTCCAGTCGCTTCTGTACCAGATACTCAAATCTGTACCCAGGCTCATTGAGATAGTGTGCCCAAACCGTCTGGAGCACGAAGAGTGGGACGTGGAAGAATTGAAAGCTACGTTCGCACGCATCGCTACCCAGACAGATTTGGAAGTCAAGTTCTGCTTCTTTATCGACGGCTTAGACGAGTACAACGGGGCTGAGGAAGACGTTGTCAACGCCCTGAAATTCCTCTCTATATCAAAGGACATCAAGATCTGTGCCTCGACACGGCCTCGCTCGGTGTTCGAGAGGTTTTTCAACAACACATCTCGCACGTTCGACATTAAGAGCTTTTCCAAAGAAGACATGGGACGCCATGTTCAGCGTCTCCTCGGGGAGAATGAGAATTTCCAACGCCTGGCGAATGCCGATACCACATGCGCATCAATAATGAAGGTGATTGCAGACCTTGCGCAGGGCGTATGGTTATGGGTCTTCCTCATTACTCGTGACCTTGTACACGCTGTCGATCGTTATGAAGGTGTGGACATGTTGTGGAATATCGTCAATCTCTTCCCAGCAGATCTAGAGGCGTACTTTGAGCGCATGGTCAAGGCCGTTAAGCCTCAGTATCTTGAAGAGATGTCACAAATCTTCTTGATCACGGTCGATGAGCTGCAACCGCTACCGTTATACGCGTTCTCTCTGCTGGAACACCAACGCAAGAACCCCGCCTATGCCACCAGCCTCCCCATACGGCCCATTCGCGAAGACGATTTGAAAAGTGAGTATCCCAAGTGGAAGTCGCTCATTCGGAACAGATGTAGCGATCTTCTCGTTGTCAATGATGAAGAGTAAGTGAAGCTCCTGGCCATCTACTCAGGTGCTAAACGACCGGAAAGCGAATCTTATGATACTGGCATTTCCAGCTGTTGTACGAAAAAAAGATGCAGTGCTTCGGACTTTTCTCAAGCAAATGAACGCCTATTTGTAACTTTCTAACTGTGTCACTCCAGACACCCCTGCTTCTCGGGTCCTACGGTCGACTTCCTCCACCGGACCGTTGCCGAATTCTTGCAGGACAACTACTACCACCAACTACAGGCCAATTTGAAGACCGGTTTTAGCTCTAAGTTTGCCTTGTGCAACATATGCCTTGTCCTGCTTAAATCACTACCGGATATTGACCACAGTAATCCTGCGTCCGTCGACGCAGTGCTGGACTTAACGGACGAGTTACTTTATTACGCCTACGAAACCGAGAGAACCGACCCAAGCCCTACCTCATCACTAGTAGAAGTTCTCGATGAGGTGGATCGCGTCAATACTCACCACGTACCTGGTACAAGAAGCCACTGGACGCATACCCGGGATGTAGTCATCGGTGGCGGGTATGAAATATGTTTTGAAGGAGACAACTACAACTTTCTAGTACTGGCTGTACAAGCCCGCCTCTTCAAGTACGTTCGTGCGAAGTTAGACGCCAACCCAAACAATGCGCGAAAGTGTGGGCGACCACTACTGGACTACGCGCTCCGTCCACGTCGAGTCACACGCATCTACATGAAATACCACTCCGAGTGTGACGATCCAAGTGTGAATGTGGATAGTAAGTGTTGATTGCACAAATTGCGTATGAGACAGAAACTAATTTCGCACCATCACCTCTGCAGTGGTTCGGCTACTCCTCGAACGTGGGGCAGATCCAAACCAGCCTGTTCTTCTAAACGGTAGCAAGTCAGTTTGGCACCTCTTTTTACTTTCAATTGACGAGTCTTACTCACCGTCACCTGTTCAAGTGAATGATGGTACACAGCCTTCAGCAGCTCTCACGAGCGCTTGGTACCAAAGCTGCGAACTACTCATTCAGCACGGTGCCCAGAAGAATTCCTACGAAATCGAGAACGGATTGGAAACAACGGATTATGACGTCTTCAATCATGTTTTTGGGTCTGCGAGAGCCGAGGCCCTAGTGGCACTCATGGACGAGAAGGAGCGGGAGAGACAGCAGGGGAAGGGCCCATGCACAATTATGTAGTACTCTGCAGAGCACAACGGTATTGCGACGAAAGCTTTCAAGATTTCGACACAACGTGCACAGCTATCAAGCGTTCCCAGATGTTCAGGTCCTTCTCCACCACCAGCGGGGCTGAGCAATCAAGATCTAGCTATACCGGGCGGACCAATCAGAGGGTTGTAACGAATGCAGGGGTCCGGCCTACCTTCCCCGAATTTTAGCGAGCTTAGGGCTGACAGACTGTCCGTTCGTCCTCCAAACTGTCTCGCAACATTCCCTGCGTCTTCTTTGAAACATGCTATTCGAGCCGCTAAGAATCTTCGCAAAACGAGTTCGAGCGACGTCTTCATGTTCGTCACTCTAGCTAGACGTCGCTCTCGCTATGCAGCCAGAAGCCAACACACCGAATCAACACGTGACTGTAAAAGCTGCGTACCAACCTGTAAGAGCTGTTGTACGGAGGAAGTCTAAATCAGGGTGCGGAACCTGCAAGTAAGTGGACTCCCCTGTTCAATGACACGGTACTCAACCGATTGGCTGTTTGTTTTGCAGCGACCTGGGTAGAGCTCTGTTCCTATGGACGCTTACCGACATCAACTAGAGCGCGAAGAGTCAAGTGCGACGAAACCAAGCCTGTATGCTCTCGTTGTCGCTCCACTGGTCGGACATGCGAGGGCTACGGACTGTGGGGTGGCGGAGGCAACACCTACGTTGAAAGATACGGCCTGGTGTCAACATCGATCCAGAAGCCTCCAACCAAAGTCCTAGGCGTCGAGGAACTGAGGTATCTACAGTTATACAGGATCCGCATCGTTCACACAACTTCCGGTTGGTTTGCTTCGAAGTTCTGGAACTCGATCGTGCTACCAGCAGCGTCGTCAGAACCGGCTGTTCTCCATGCTGCTGTTGCGCTGAGCGCTGCGCACAGATGCAGTTTCGATTCGGCACAAGCTCCGGATGAGAGGGAAAAGTTCATGCTTCAACAATATGGCAAAGCAATCCAGTCGCTACAGCCGCTGTTGCGATGTGGAGACAAAGCCTCAGTCACAACCATATTGGTCACTTGTCAGTTATTTACCTTGCTTGAATACCTCCGCGGGCAATACCAATTGGCCGAATCGCACTTACGGAACGGTCTAAAGGTCCTGATGAACATGACCACGAAGAAAGATCGCTCGCAGGATGGCGTCCTTGTAATCAAGCCGGCATCATGTGAAAAGAGCATCGATCAAGGCATCGTGCGCAGCTTCGCGACCCTACATATGCAAAATAACCTGTTCGGTTCCGGTCTGGAAGATCTCGATATATTCCTTCAGCCGATAGAAAACAACATACCATACCCTACTTTTACGACTATCGAGGAGGCGAAGGACGCTCTTGATGTGCTATTGCACGGCATTGTTCTCATAGCACAACAATATCGAAAGATGGGGCCAGGCACTGAAGACGAGATTGCGGCGGTTACAGCAGGACAAGAAGAGATCACAACCTCTCTTGCGATGTGGTACGATACGTATCTGAGTACACTTCCCTCGGTCGAAAAACTAGCCCTAGCTGCCGGGAGGAAGTCAGATGAACTGTGGGCGTTCGGCGGGAAGACGCCGCCAGCAAAGCTTCCGATGGGCCGCGAACCATCGGTCCTCAAATTGCTACTCATGTATCATGCCATGGCGCGCATAATGTGCGGCTGTCTGCAAGTGCACTCTGAGCAACACTACGAAGCGTATACGCCAACGTTTCTCACGATACTTGTGCATGCCATACACATCTTCGAAGAGTACACCTTGGCTAAATCTATACCCGATAACGTCAACCTCCACGATTCGATTGGCGAGTACGGCTTTATTGCGCCTTTGTATTACACGGCTATCAAGTGTCGATACCATCGCATCCGCCTCCATGCTATTCGGCTCCTGCGGGTGATCCCGCTGAAGGAAGGAACGTGGGATTCTTTCACGGCAGCAAATATCGCGGAAACGGTTATGGAGCTTGAAGAGCAAGATACTCGCTATGGGGATAACGCTGGAGACGGCTTCTCTCTCTCAGAGATACCCAATTTGGAAGATTCGTATAGCTGGTCTTTGATGCCGGAGCATAACATGTTCCACGATGTGGAAGCAACGACAAGAGGAGACCTCACGAACGAAGTCGTCGTCACATGCAAAAGATGGCGGCTGGATGGCAGCCCTGAAGTCATCACGTTTCACGCCAATCCCAAAACCAGGCACAAGACTGACGAGAAGACACACTCTTATACCTGAAGAGGACCATTACAGCTCAAGAACATCTCATGCAAAACCAGAACCATTCGATCTGGCGCATCATCTTCCTCCTCCCTAGAGCTCCCAACCTTCCATCTCCCTCTGCGTCCAGGCCCACAACTTCTCTCCCAATCTCGTATCCTTGGACAACTCACTCCCCATACCCAACACACCCACAGGTTCATAATATCGCCCACTCAGCACGCCCTGCGCAGTCGCCGCCCAAACCCCATTCTTGATCCCTTCCTCCAGCGACCCACATCTCTTAGGCGCCACCTCCCTCGCCAAATACTTGATCTGCTCATCACCTCCCTCAGCGCCTTTATTGAAGATCTCTGTCAAGACATCACCAGGGTGGATCGCCACACTGTTGATCTGTGTGTAATGCAATGCGTATTGGCGCGCGTAGACTACGTTGGCTAGTTTGGATTGCGTGTACTTGTTCACGCCCGACAAGTTTTGTTGTGAAGTTCTCAAAGTATCGAACGCGATACCGCCGGCTGGTAGGGCGGCAGTGTGAGCGTGGCCCCGCGAGCTGACGGAGATGACGCGGGGTGTTGAGCCCGTGGTTTCGACAGTGGAAAGCAAGGTTGGTGTGAGGAGCTTTAGGAGGAGGGCATGGCCAACATGGTTCGTCCCGAATTGCACTTCATGGCCTTGGGGTGTAGTGCCCGGGTGGCCGCCCATCTATCGTCACAGAAGGCGAAGATTAGTCATCGCATACATCGACACATGTGCACACAGGAAACCCGAACGGAAAGGGATAAGCAACGCTTCAGGGAGAAAAGAGTTAGGACATACAATCCCCGCATTCAACATCAAAACATCCAATCGCCCTCCACAACCCTCCACCACTTCCCTCGCCGCTCTTGCTACCGAGTCAAAGCTAGCCAAATCGCATTCAACGAATCGAACATCGATGGCCGGTGCGGCGGCTTTGATTTCAGCAACGGCAGCATCGCCATTTGCGAGGTTGCGAGCCGCGACCCAGAGTTGTGCTGGGTTTAGGGTGGCGAGGGAGAGGGCGGTGGCTTTTCCTATGCCGCTGTTTGCGCCGGTTATGAGGATGACTTTGGAGGAGAGGGATGGGGTAGGCGCCATGTTTGCGTGGATCAAGGCGGAGAAGTGTAAGAAAGTAGGAGTCGGAGTATTGGGGCCAAAGAGTTGGAAGGCGCATGAGCCATATGGTGTATTACCCTCCATTTATCTATTGCTCCCCTTTATGAGTTTCCGACTTATCCCTCGTTTGTTCTAAAAAAGATCTTGTGCATTTCCATAATGCGCATGATTCGCTAAGGTTCTCCGTGATTCAGGCGTCCCGGGTGTGAGACTGCGGAGGGGTAAGGGCACCGAGACTCCGATGTAGCGGTAGGACATCCTCCGGGGAGCGACAATGAGCTTCTCATAATACTGAATGATGACAGAGTTGCAGCTGTTATTGGATGAAGTGGCTTTTGGCAGTTCTAACCACCATCTATCAAGACAGCATAGCTGAAGATCATGCCCTCCCACAGCACGTCCCTTTCCCCTCTTCACCATCAACCCACCCTACACAACCTCCCATCCTGCGTAACGATCCCCTCCCTCTTCCCCCCATCCAAATCTCTAACCTCCCACTCATCGCTCCCCACGCCTCCAATCGCCCAAAACACACCTTCAGGATCCCATTCCCTCTTCACCTTCGCCAACCTCTCATAATTACTCCCAAAGAACGCGTCCTTCCACTCCCAATCCTGCGCATCCCCCTCATTGATATAACTCCCACTCCCGGGCGTAACATCTCGCCAGCCCTGCATATACCCCTGCAGTCTCTGGTGTCTTTCTGTCAGCGCCTCGTGCGACAAAATCGGTGCTTTGCCGTCCCAGTGCGCGTTGGATTCGTAGGCTTGTGCGTGGAGGACTGTGGTGCGGAACGCGGGGTTTACGCTGTTGTTTGGGTTTCCGGAGACGGAGAGCGTGGGCGCGTAGTTCATGCCGTGGAAGGTTAAAGAACCGTTTTCGACGACATGGCGGATGGCGAGGTGGGAGGTTTCTAGTGTGGAGGGTGTCGAGAAGGTGGTGCGGGGGAAGAAGCGGGATGCTATTAGGGTGTGGCCTGTTGTTTCGCCTATCGATCTTTTGGAGAGAGACGATGCCTCGTGTGCGGAGTTTTCTTCATATGAGAAAGATGACGTGAGAGAACGTTTGAGTGTCGGCATAGGTTGCTGGATACCGAGATCATTGAGCTTCTGAAGCAATGGGCGGACAAATTGCCGATATTGGGTGGTGGTTTTGTTGGGAACCGAAATACTGACAGTAAAGGTAAGACCTGTGCTACTACTGCTTGGGTAGATGAAGCTGTAACCCAAGCCGCCTGCGTCACAGATGGCGATCGAAAACTCCCAGTACGCGCGCATGCCGGCCCAGAAGGTTTCTGCAGAGATTGGAGGCGCACTTGATCCACGGTCTGGTGTCGTTGAGAAACGAACGCTGCCTGACGTAATGGCTGTGGCTGGGAACGCTTTGACGACAACGGATGTGATGATGCCGAATGTGCCTGATCTATGGTCAGTGACAGTCGGGTTCCCTGTTCGCTGGGAATGATTACCTCCACCTCCTCCTCTGAAAGCCCAGAACAGGTCTGCGTTTTCGCCTTCATGTGCTTCAACTACCCTTCCATCAGCTGTAACAGCAGTGATGGCGAGCACTTGGTCTGCCGCCAGACCATAGTAGCTGGTATATGCACTGTGTCCACCACCCTGGAGAAAACCGCCTGCAATACCTACGGTTGAACCGCCTGCAACAATCATGAGCATATTCTTCTGCCGCATTAGTGTAGACCCCTCAGAAGCCTGGGTACCGGCGGCATAAGCAACAGCTTTTCCTGCATACGAACCAGTCGGTGAGGTGTAGTTCGGATCATACGTCATGCCTTTGAGGTTGTGTGTCCAAATGCTAAGGGAGTAACCACCAATGGACTTTCCGTTGAAGTCATGGCCTGAGTTCTTGATCACGAGTCGGATATTTTGGTTCCTAGCGAAGTTGACTGCAAGTTGGATGTGTCTCAACGTAGTGGCTCTGACGACGTACTCCGGCCACCCACCTTGGGTACAGTTTGAGTTTGGTTGTGAGGTTGGTGTGCATGCATTCCCGGATGCCCATTGGGACATGATACTGGTGGGATCATCGGTACTGTCGTAGTTAGCATGACACAATAAGGGTGACGTTGCGTTACGAGTGAGCTCACTGTAAGTTCATGCCCGCCCAGTTACTCTTGTACTGTTCGCATCTCGCTGCATTGTAGCCCTCACCAGTATAGCAGACGGTAGCAAGCGGCTTCGGCTTCAGTAACACACCACCGAGCGTATCGTTGAAAGAGGCCCAGACATCCTCGCCCGGCCACTCAGCGTCGCCCGGGATGATCTTGCAATCAGCAGGCGCCGCAGCTTGTGATGCACTACCAAAGCGCACTGCTTCATTGCGAGCTGCATCCTCGTCAGTGAGCTGTTCGCGCTCCCAATCAAAATTGAGGGCAATTGCTGCCGCTGAGAAGAGGTAAAAGACGAGAGTAGTATAGAGCATCTTGGTGAGGTCGTGAGTGACAATGTATTGAGGGAAGGACGTAGAGTCGTTGTAGGCAGGCGCGAACGAACTCAATATAGGAAACCACCACCATCACGACGATATACAGATAACGTTATCGCTCTCACTCGCTGTGAAGCCAGCCTGTTTGCTCCCCACACACCCTTCCAATGTCTCGTCTGTGGGGCCATACGAGCATGTGGTCTTCGCAGGTGTGGGATGACTGAGCTGTGGTGTTCACCTATTGTCCTGCATATACGTGCCGGCTATATAGCTTACCACCGTCCCGGTTCGCAGAAATGTTTCCAGGCGAGAATCCCGGTCTAGATTTACCATCAGTCCGGGCGTGCAGGGTGATGAACTACGCAACAACAGACGCAAAACGATTCGAAGAAGGGAGATATCTTTTCATACAAGGGGTTATCATGCAATACGACAGTTGGACAAATGATCATGGGGGATAGAAAACGCGCCATCCGCTGTACATAAGATCGTCTGTCCCTGAGATCCAATCTCATCTAGCCCAATAGTAAAGTTACACAGTCGTCCCAAATGCACCGAAAATAGAATCAGATTATAGCATAAGCTCGAGAGGGCTCTCAATGGCCTTCTTGAGCTCGCGCATGAACTCGCCACCGACGGCACCGTCGACAACCTTGTGGTCGAAGCTGCCGGTGATGACAATCTGGTCGTCCCACTCAACGCTCGCTGTGCCATCCTCAGCCTGACCGGATACTGCGACCTTCCTTGTTGTGCCGATTGCGACGATGCAAGCTTGTGGGGGGTTGATGACGGCGGTGAATCGCTCAACAGCGGGGTTCATTCCCATGTTGGAGATGGTGATGGTTCCGCCCTGGTATTCCTCGGGCTTGAGCTTGCCGTCGCGTGCGCGCTTGCCAAGGTCCTTGATCTGGGATGAGATGGATTGGAGGCCGAGTCCGTTGACGTTCTTGACGATGGGGGTCATGAGACCGACGGGGGTAGAGACAGCGACGGAGACGTCGACAGTGTTGTGCTGGCGGATAATGACCTTACCGCCATCCTCGCGCCAGGAGGAGTTGGCAGCGGGGACCTTGCGGGCGGCAACAGCGAGAGCCTTGACAAGCAAGTCGTTGACCGAGAGCTTGTACTCGCCGTTAGCTGAGGCATTAAGAGCTTCGCGGAGCTTGAGGAGCTTGGAGACGGAGATGTTGGAGGCGACGAAGTAGTGGGGGTTCTGCTGCATGCTCTCGCGAAGACGGGTAGCAATGACCTTGCGCATGCTGGTAGCCTCGACGTCCTCGTACGCGGCAGCGGAGGCGCCAGCAGCGGGGGCAGCACCGGCAGCAGGCTTGTACTTCTCAATGTCCTCCTTGGTGACCTGGCCGCCCTTTCCAGTGCCCTTGATGGAACCGATTGGGACGCCCTTCTCGAGCGCGAGCTTCCTCGCGGCAGGGGAGACGGCGGGCTGGCGCTGGAGAGCGGTCTCTAGACGGTCGCCGGTGGACTCAGACTCGATGGAAGCGGGCGCAGACTCCTCCTTGGCGGGGGGAGCAGTCTTGGAGCCAGTGTTCGGGGGCTCGCTGGCCTCAGCGGCGTTGCCCTCCTTGGAGGGAGTGTCGGCCTTCTTGTCACCACCGGCGTCCTCGATGGAGAAGCTCTCGAATGCGGAGACGTCCTCGCCCTCCTCGACCATAACAGCGATGGGCTGCGGAAGTCAGCATGGCATCCTCGAAAGCTTGTGTACCTCAACTTACGCTTCCAACAGCGACGTCCTTCTCGCCAGCGTCGCGGAGGATCTTGGCGATGGTGCCCTCCTCCTGGAACTCAAAGTCCATCTGTGCCTTGTCTGTCTCGATCTCGACGAGGACGTCACCGGGCGCTATTGAGTCGCCAACCTTCTTCTGCCATGCGCCAATGTTTCCGGCGGTCATGGTTGGGGAGAGGGCGGGCATGCTGATAACGCTGTGCGAGGGGTAGGCTGCGGGCTGCGTTAGCAATGCGATGGCCAGCGGAGTATCTCGTCGCGAGGGACGCGGTGGGAGTGCTCACACTTGGAGGCATAGTAGCGTGCGAGCGCGGACAGGGCTGGTGTGCGTCTGTATACGTGCGTGTCAGCTATGCTCGTCGGAGGATTGTGGGCAATGCCAGGCGGGAGTGAAGCTAACGTACGCGGAGCATCTCGAGGTGGGCAGGGCGCCGCGCAGGGCAATTGACCCCCGCGAGCTCAATTGGCTCCCAGCCCGGGACAGCAGAGTTGTGGTTGCGGGCATTGTGTTGGGATGCCGGGCGCTGAGATTTTACTCCAAGCGACGTGAAATGGGGGAAGACGGGCTTGTCGGGCGAGGGCGACAGGCAGACAGAGGTGAGCGAGCTGGAGGCTCAGGCGCTTAGCGGTCAGGGCTGGAGGAGATGGAAGACTGTTCAACGAAAAGTTTAGTGCAGCTGGTTGGAGACCCGGCGACTAGCGTTCTCTCCCGATGAGGGTCTATGCTGGATGCGACATTTCCCGGCAGGACGCAAAGTGTGGCTGACCAGCACCAGCATCAGCCACAGCCCGG